GTTGTGGGAAGGGTCTGAGCACTGGCTTGGGCCATTTTGGGGACAACTTGCACACTGAGCATCAACGAAGAGATGTGGTAGGACATGTTTGGAACCTCCAGAACGGTGCGCTTGTGCCCTCTAGTGGGAGAAAGTCACAATGCAGCCATCTGTCCTGCCATGGTTTCAGCACCAGCCATACCAGCCAGCCCTGAGCCCCACTCCGGCCGGGATTGGGATTACGTATGATGGGAGCTGGAATACACAAATCAGCGCCAAGATGGCAGGCTGGCTAACCCCCCTCTAACCCGCTGCCATGGAGTCGGATCCGACTTATAGCGACCCCTCCATGGGTTTCCGAGGCAGTATCACTATAGAAGTAGATTGCCCAACCTTCCTTCTGAGGAGTGGCTGGTGGGTTTGAACCGCCAGCCTTCTGGTTAGCAGTCATGTGCCTTAGGCATTATGCTACCAGAGCTCCTGAGTCCCCCTCTACTCATACAATTCACAGTTGTGTTGTTGCTGGGTGTCACGGAGTCAACTCAGACTCATACCTACCCTGTGGGACAGACTGGGACTGCCCCATAGGGATCCTAGGCTGTAATCTACCAGAGCAGATCGCCAGATCTTTTTCCCATGGTACTACTGGGTAGGTTTGAACCATCGGTCTTTCAGTTAGCAGCCAAGTGCTTAACTGTTACACCAACCATTGCACCTCGCAGAAGAGGTGCACCTCAAAACACAGGTGGGACACCAGCCTCTGGGATGGCATTTATGCCAAGGCCCAAGTCTAAGCCCAAGTGTTGTCTCAGCTTCTGTTCTGCCCTATAGTTTCATGGCCCTCGAGCCAAGCCCAACATCCCTGAATCCATGTCACTGTGCTCAGAGGCTCCTGGTACCCTCCCCTGAACAGAGAGCTCTTGGATCTCTTAGGGAAATATATCCTATGCAACTTTCTCTCTCTCAAAAGTGTGAACAAGATTCCCAGGAAGGTTAGTTAAGTGAACCATGTTGTAAAATCTGGCTGCTGGCCACCACTCATTCCAGCTGACCTGCTCTTCTCCCTCCAGCCACTAGGGGGTGCAGATCACGGGGAATATTCACATCACCAGCACCGGCCCTCACCAACTCAGTGTCTTTCGTGGGTGGAGAACTGTGCCTGGCAGCTGGGGCTCACAGAGATACAAGGCATGATCCTTGGGTTTGGGCACCTACTTCCTGCCCAAGTCCTTGGGGCTGATCCCCAGCAGGTCCAGCGAAGGAAATACAAGCAAGTGGGACCTTCAGGGATAGGGTCCTTAGCTTTGGCTGGAGAGGGGCTTGGCCAGCACCCAGGTGTCGGCACCTGCCCTCCAACTGAGGCAGTCCTACCTGGGACCACCATGTGTGGCATGCGCCCCCATGTGTGACTTCCAGTGAAAGATAATCTAGAGCTCCTTGGAAATCTACAGTAGGCATTAAATCTAGGGGGTACTAGGGCCCTCTGCTCTGTACTTAGCCATTCATTCAGGCCCCAGGCTACAGTGACTGCAGCCACATTGGGGAGGGAGGCAGGGTACACAGGGAAAGAAGCCGGACTTCACCCCCTAGGGACTCTGACCTGACAAGGCAGCCAGCATTGCTCGGGCATGGTAATGGGCACACACATCTCATTTCCTCCACTAGACTGTGCAGCTCTTGGGGGAACTCAATCCCGTGCATCCTTCTGTCCCTCAAAGGCTTGAGCAAAGCACTCGTCCCATAAAGATAAAGTTAAGTGAGCAAATGAAGGAGAGAGGAAGACACGGCAGAGACATTTACTGGCCGCCAGTGAGCCATGTCTGTCCTGGAGGAAGCATAGCCAGAAGGCCCCTTGGAAGCAAGAACGGCCAGACTTCGACTCACCTACTTTGGTGGTCATGTCAGAAGGGACCGTTCTTTGGAGAAGGATGTCATGCTTGGGACAGTGGAGGGTCAGCGAAAAAGGGGAAGGCCCTCAACAAGATGGACTGACATAGTGGCTGCAACGATGGGCTCAAGATATAGCAAGGATTATGAGGCTGGCACAGGACTGGGCAGTGTTTTGTTCTGTTGTACATGGGGTCACTATGAGTTGGAGCCAACTTGAGGGCATCCAACAGCAACAACGAGCCTTATGTCCCTTGACCCCTGACAGTCCCTTTGTGATTGGGTCAGGCTATGTGACTAGTTCTGCCCAAGGGGCTAGAAGTGGGAGTGATGTCTCTGGGTCAAAGCACTTCAGCAGAGCATGACTATCTAGCTCTCTTCCCCTGCCAGCACCACATGGATGGCATGGGTTGAGATAGCAGGGCCACAGCATTGAAGCCAACTGGATCCTAGAGCCCTCCTTTGGAAAGGAGCTACCCTGGAGAGCAGCTAGACCATTGGTGGACTTTCAATAAGCGAGAAAGAAAATGCTCTGTCGGAAGTTGCTGAGACTGGGGGGCTCACCACCACGCCATACCCTTATCGTAACCTGATATAGGAGGTGAGGGGAACATCTCGTGTGTGGCTGTGTCTAAAAAACATGTCCCAGAAATCACACCAGCAATAGTTCATGGCCAGGTTCATGTGAAGGTTCTGCATAGAAGCTGCTGGAGAGACTCATTGCAGAGGGATGGGCTGAACATCCCGACACATCTCTCCTGGATCCTCCAGTTGCCATAGTGATGACCCCTGATGAGATGCTCTTCAGTAACCACTTACTCAGGAATGACGGGCTCTGGGTCCTAATGGTGAATGAGACATGGCCCCAGGCCCCAAGCAGCCCACAGTCTAGGAGGGAAGCCACGTGTTGGGAGCCATACACAGGGGTGGGAACAAGGGGACTGGGGAGCCGGGCAGATAGACAATGGGACTGAGCCCTGTGCCTCTGAGAGGGCATCACAGAGGAGGTGCGCTGAGCTAGGACCACAGTCCTCAGCAGAGGGACTGACAGCACAGAGATGTGAAGACACAGAGATGACAGATAGGGAAGCCTAGGGGCCAGGGGCCAGCTGAGGCCCAGGCTGGGTGGGGGGCGTCGGAGAGGCCACACAGGTGGGCAGGGTCAGGTCACAAAGGTTCCCATCACCTGAGGGGCTGATCAGGGAAGGAAGGTGGTGGGGAAGGTGAACAGAAAGGGGTAGGGTCAGAGATGGGGCCTGGGCCTCCACGGGAAGACAGAGCTAGCAGCAGCTCTAAGGCTTCTGGGACTCCTATGGGAAGGCTGGGCCCCCAGGCTAGCACTGGGTGTTCCCTTCCACTCGGCCATCTTTGTATGCACAGATCCCCTGGGTTGTTTGGAAATGAAGGTGCTATTG